CGCCGCCTGGCGCGCCCCTGCCGCACTACCTGGGCGCCTCAGTCATCATCACTAACGGCAGGTGACCCGCCAGGCCGGGCCGCGGGGATGCACGTGCACGGCCCGCCTCGGCGCAGGCTGCCCACAGGGAGAAGCCATAGGCCAGGCCTTCTTGGTTTCCTGTCTTACCAGTCGACTCGATAGGGACAAGCTGTACATGCACGATATAAATTAATTTATATAGAGACAACTATTTTAATAGAACTCTGTAGCCGCGTTTTAGATTTGTATCGTCGGTGCCACAAACGCAGGTGGAGAGGACTGAGACACAGCCTGCAGCTTGGGAGAAGAGATCACCCAACCTTAGTTCCTCCAAGAATGGGCTTCTCTGAAAGGGCCTAGCTGAGGGTCCCTGAGGCCCCACGCATGACCTCAAACTACCCAGTACTTGGGGAGGACTCAGCTTCTTCACCTTGAAATCAGGCTCGTGTGCCTTGCCCTGCCCCGGGGCTCAGTAATGTCTCAGAGGGAGGTGTCAGGAGTTCTAACTACAGTTGTCCCCACTTTACAGAGAACAAAATCCGCCCTAATAAAGTCAGCTGTATCCAGGCAGATGGCCAATCTGGGAAGAGGAAGCCTCTGTATCAAGGGCTCTTCGAATTCTTTAGTCAAAGCAGAATGTGATCAAGTCCCAAGAGTAGACGAACTCCATAGTCTTTAAAAAGTCATTTATAAGTCTCATTAAAGGCCTTTTAAAAAACATAACCTTTGTCTTCATACAAAAATCAGCAAACCAAGAGGAAGGGGTTAACATGCAATTTCTTGTTCTCTGTGTGTGAGCATGGATGTACTTTGACATGTAATTAACAAGCCCTTACTTCCCTTGAACCTTATGAACTCTCCATAGCACCTTCAGAATATATTGACTAAGCATTAAATGCAAAATAGATACATAGCCAAATATTTTATAAGAATGGCAGTGCCCAGTGCTTTTGGTGATCTCTGTCAAGTTTAATTACATGGCAAAATGCCTCTGACCCACACAGATCTGTAATTCACTAGGCTCGTGTTTGCTACAAGTAGTGCTGATAAAGTTAGTTGAATTGCATGTGCAATATGGAAAACTGTTAATGGAAGGCACCTTGTGGAAGAGAAAAAATGTGTTAAAAGGATGTAATAAAAATGATGTACTATACATTTTCTTAAGCATTTTCTACATAGCAAGAAAACTTATATGAATATGTAATGTGTGTAGCAGGTAAACTGAAAGCCTTTTATAAAGCATCCGCAGTGTTTTAAAAATAAACTTCCTTTTTTTTTTTTTTTTTAATTCTTTCTCTTAGGGTTTTTTGGTTTTGAAAACATTTTATTGTGTTTTAGGCAAAAGTTTACACAGCCTACTAGTTGCCCATTAAACCATTCACACAAAGATTGCTGCGCGCCATTGGTTACCACAATGTGTCAGCACCGCACCCTCCCTATTCCACCCTGCCATTGCCATCCCTCCAGCTTCCCTGCCTCTCCTTGCTTGCCCATCTTTGGTTTTGAGCAAATGTTGCCCATATGGCCTCATGTAGTTGATTGTTTTAAGCAGCACATTCCTCACTGGTGACAGTGTTTATTTTATCTATCTATTATTTGACTGAAAGGTGACATCCAGAAGTGGTTTCCATTCCAGGTTAAAAAGGTATCTTAGGGAGACAGTTCCTTCCATCTCTTTATCAGACCATTCATTCTGGTCTTTTATTTTTATGAATCTGAATTTTGTTCTACATTTTTCTCCCATTCTAACCAGGACCTTTCATTGTGGTCAGAGTGGTAGCTGGGCATCAGAGGATATGGTTTGCGTGGGTCATTAGTCCTGTGGGCTAATTGCTTCCTTGAGTCTTTGGTTCCCTTCACTCGACTTTGCTCCAAACAGGAAGAGACCAATGACGATTTTAGATGGCCTCTTGAAAGCTAGGATGTAGAACATTATCTTTATGAAGTATGTTATGCCAACTGACCTAGATGCCCATCCAAGACTATAGTCCTTAGCCTTCAAGTCCAATATCCCAGTCTCATGAGGTGTTTGGGTATGTGTAAGAAGTTTCCGTAACTGTGCCCTTTATATTTTAATATATATGCAACACATACAAATATGTATACAAGTACCAAGATACCTATATGTGTACATACATATATTTCCATATGCCCCACCACACCTATATAGCATACACATCTGCCTATGTAATCACTCACAAATTTTTGGAGGTTATTGCAAAATTGTGTTACAGGATTTATTGCGGTTGTCCCTTACTCTAAGGTATCTCTCAGTGTCTTCATTTTCCTTGGTCATATTGTGCTGACTTTTCTCATATTGTGTATTGCCTTTTCCTTCACCAGAATTAACACATCTACTGTCTAGGGATTCCCCCTCCCATCCCTAGTATCCATCAAAGAACATTAGCTTCTGTATGTAAGTCAATTCTTAACTTTATAAAAGTGGAATCACACTTTTCCTTTTATGACTTACTGCAATTAGTATATTGTTCTTTAGATTCATCCATGTTATGTTTCATGAACTCATCATAATTCTTTATCATCGCATAACATTCCATTAGAGTCCTAGTGTGGTGCTGCAGGATAAGCACTGAACTGCTAATGGCAAGATCAGCAGTTCAAACCCACCACCTGCTCCTTGGAAACCCTATATAAGGTTACTATGAGTCAGAGTAGACTCAACAGCACTTACCAACAACGAAATATTCCATAGTGTGTATGTTCCACATTTTGTTTAGCTATTGATGGACACTTAAGTTGTTTCCATCTTTTTGCTATTGTGAATACTGCAATGAATGTTGTTGTTAAGTGCCATAGAGTTGGTTCTGACTCATAGCTACCCTATTTAGGGTTTATGAGGAGTGGCTGGTGGGTTTGAACAGCTAACCTTTTGGTTCAAACCTACCTTGCAGTCCAATGTTTTATCATACACATGTCTATTCATATCATTGTTCTTGTATCTCTAGGATGTACTTCTAGGAGCAGAATTGCTGGATCCTATGGTATTTCCATTTCTAAATTTTTGAGGAAGAGCCATACCATTTTCCAAAGTGGCTGCACATTCTACGTTCCCACCAGCAGCATATGAGTTCAGGTTAACTTTATACCTTACCATTTGTTTTGTGTTTTCTTCATTAGTGCCATTGTTAGGATGAGATCATATCTTATTGCGGTCTTGATTTGCATCTTTAATGGGTAATGACTGCAAGCATCACTTCATGTGCTTGTTAGCCACCTGAATATCTTCTTTGGTGAATTGTCTAGTCATGTCCTTTGCCCATTTATTGATTGGATTGTCTTTTTGTTGTTGAGATGTTTAAGTTTTCTGTGTATTATAGAGATTAGACCCCTGTTAGGCCATTATATACATTCTCTTTTTACATTTTTGGCAAAGTCTTTTGATGAGCATAAATATTTAATTTTCAGGAGGCTCCAAGTTATCTGGTTTATCTTCTGTTGTTTAGTTAAGTTTTGGCAGTATCCACTAATTTTCATTTTACTTTTTTTATCTAAAGATTTCACTGTTTTCAAATATCTTGGCATTGAACTGGATCAATGCATTGAATAGATTCTGTCACTCTATCTGCTTCACATTAACACAATTTCGTTTTGCTGCTTTTGTAAGACATGGTTTACACAAATGCTTTCAACTCATCTTTATAGAATTCAAGTGCATTAACATGGATTGCTCTCAAAATGTGAAATTATCTTCTGCCACCTCAGGACCTAATTCAGTCGAACAGTGTGTCAGTTTGTCCTTCGAGATAAAAATTTGCAAATATAGGAATGTGTCAAGTGTTGGCACCTCAGAAGAAAGGCTTGGCAGTCTACTTCTTTAAAGACTGCAGCCAAGAGAATCCTATGGAGCACAGTTCTACACTGTAACACATGGGCCACCAGGAGTCAGAACCAACTTGATGGTGACAAGGTGTGGTATGATTTCTGTTGTGCCATGAAGGAACTGGGATTTTATAAAATGCTTGCATACACCTCTACAGACCACTTAGCTATACCTCACTAGCAGTTCCCTGTGCAAATGTATGCTCACAGAAAACAAGCCTGGTCTATTATTTTTTATGTTCATGATTATTTTCATTAAACTATGGTTCTTGAAGGTGCAGGTTTGATTAGTATGCGATAGCATCTGACATTTTTCAATAAAGTCCCACAAAATACTTGTGTCCTTTGTTTTTACGTTTGGGGGCTGTGTTTAATAAGTACAAATCATCAAGGCTTGTGAAGCAGTTTGATATCAAAGGTTCCTTTTTAGAAAGACTCGTATAGATTTGTGTTGGAGAATGTCTAGAGGCTTAACAAATGCTATGCCCTTGCAAAATAAAACGTACACTAGTGAAAATATCCTTGTCTAAACAAATATGGTTTTCACAGCATAGAACATGAAGGACAATTCCTACACAAGTCAGTTTCCGGCTTCAAGAGTGCCAACAGCTCGATGCAGAGTTAACCCGGTAGTTACTATGGCAACCTAATATTGTTACCTCCATCTTTAAGAGTCGGCATATTTAAGCTTGAGAATATTGTTTTTTGATGTCTGTGGTGTTCTGAGGGAGGAAGAGGAAGCATTTCAATGCATATGCGTCTTTCATTTAAAAAAAAAAAAAAAAAAAGGGCGGGGGTGGGGTGGGGAGGAGGGTAATGGGCATTGGCCCTAACATGTACCATGTTGACAAAAATGTCAGATCAAATGGATTTGAGAAGTAAGCCCAATTCAACACTGACTCAGCCCTCCACAAAGTCTCCCAGGGAAAGGAATTCCTTTATGTTCACGGAAACTCCTTTCTAGAAAAGCCATTCCATTCATAGCTTCGTGGCCAAATGAACAGGCTGTGAAGGGTTACCCTGAGGAAATCTGCAAGAGCCAGTATTTTCTGTGCCCTCACTGCTCAATCATGACTCCTTTTGTCATATGAAAGTCCTACCAGCCAGTTCAGCTTTCCTCCCTTCTTCCAGAAGGGCTGCGAGAGGCCTAATAGATGTAATGGCTCCTCTACAAAGTGAACTCGAAGTTCTAATTTATTGGCATTGTAAGACGTTGCTGCTATTGATAAAATGGAATAAAAGGTACAATTTCAAATAAATACCATAAAATTATAGTAGCTTTGTAGTGAATGGTTTATCTAAAATTCAGTATTCAAGTTGTTCTTAAATGTAAACATGATATATAAGGTTGAAATCTTGGGGTAGAAACTGTTAGGACAAAAGTAAAGCAATTTTCACGCAAAAAATTAGAAAACCCTAAAAGAACAAAATATAGATGTTATAATAAATTTATTTCTCACCGTAGTTAAAAAAGTTGTTTTGTTTTTTTGCTTTGGGCTTTGTTAACTTTCATGCTTTGGGATAGTAAGACATTTTTTTTCTGGTATCATGTATAGCACATTTGTCAAAAATACATCCCACCTCCACAAAACTCACCCAGCTTCTTAAACTTAGAAATGTTTATATATTTCTTACTATGTAAAGTCTCTCAGTTATTTGTTTTAAATGTTTAAATATAAGAACGCTATCACTAAAAGCAATGGCCTTTAAAAAAAAAAAGCAACTTGTGAAAATAAGAATGAGCCCAAATCGTGTAGAACAGCCTTATAGTTTATTTTGGTGGACTTGCTTTTTATAGGCATTGGTTGAAATCATAACTTTTCAAAGAGGACTCCTTGAAAAGTGAAAAAATGCAAAGGCTTACACTTTCTTTTATTTCAAATATGCATAGTAATTACCCAGAAATAAGGATTCTCCGTTGTCCATTGTGAGTGAGTAGGTTACAGAATCTAAGGCTAAAACGTCTCCCTTTTCCATCCTGAAACTGCTGGGTGAGGCCAGCTTCTCTTCCAGTCTCAGACTCCAGGGTGGGGGTGGCCATGCTGGCTTCCTAGTAGGTGGGTACGGTGGCCAGGTGATGGCTGAAGCTGCTCTTTAGTACGGGGCAAAGGCCATTTCCCCGTTGTCCTGGGCCTATATACCCACCCTGATCCACCCCTTGGTCAGGTCCCTCATAAGTAGCATCACGCAAGGATTAGTGAGCCTCAGTGAAACACCACCTACTATCTTACATTGAACACAAATCCTTCCCACGTTGACAGCTCCCATGAAAGCTGTCAGGAATCCCAGTGCCAAAGAAGCTGTTGCCATGCTCTATTTTAGGGGGCACCACCTCAAGAGCTCCCTAAGGGGGATGTCTAGTCTTTCACATAATTACAAAGATGCTCAATGCATATCTACCTCGGGGAGAATCCCATGTTCTGGAAGCACACATTGATCCTGAGTTTTATCTGTTGTATTCTAAAGGTCGTGGGGGAAAATGCAAAGTTTTGTTTAAGACTTCGTGAGATGGTTGGCTGCATGGATACTCCAGACGCCTTATGATAGGTATGGAGTAGCAGGTTCCCCTAACACTAACAACTATAAGCAAAATGCCTGCAATCAGCTGCTCTCTATGAAGCAGAATTTTACAATACTCTTTGGTTCATCTGAGGCAAAATCAGGTTTCTGAAAAGAGCAGTGTCTACTTCACATCAATTTTGTCTCCCTCAAGATGGGGTGTTCTGTGTAAGTCAGAAGGGCCTGCTAAAGAGCACAGAGGCAGAGTGGCATGCCCAGAACATCCCCATCTGCTTTGACATGTCCACACTTCATTAGTTTTAATTTACACAAAGGAAAATAAATGATAACTTTTTTTTCCAAAGCAGAAATTTCCAGAAGAGGACTTCAGCTTAAAACAAAATATAGCATGTTTTTCATTAAATAACCCCTCAAAGAAACTCTAAAAGTAATGACGGCAGCTCCGAGAGATGACTTGCCTTCATTTATGAAGTTTGAGAAGTGAAATTCACAATATTAACTTGGAGATTTTTCTCCTTGATGATACTTTGCAGACTCCCTCTCAAGGGTGAGTCCTTTTTGTAATTTTCACGTGGTGTTGATTTTTGTTTCAAGTTGCCACTGATTCCAAAAGAAGACTCGGGCATTTAGAAGTGAGAGAAAAATAATTCCAGTTAAAGACTTCTTCTTTGCAAAAATGTATAATGCTTTTTAAGCTACATTTCCCAAAAACACAGTTTGGATGAGTGTACTTTACTCAAGATGTAAATTGTTTTTTCTTACTGTGCGGCTTGCCCGTGCCTGGCTCAAGGTAGACTGATTTTATACTGGAAACCGCAACTTTCTGGAATTAACCTGGCTGGGTAGGACTTGGGCAAGGATGGGACTAGTTTACAATGAGGGGATTCTGTTCAAAGTTGAGAGCACCATCAAGATTACTTTCCACTAATTTCAGTTGGGACTGGCAGGAAGAAAGAAAAGTGGTAAAAAATTAGCCTTTTAAGGCTGAAAAGTAATGTGCATGATTCATAAATTCAACAGAGATAGAAGTTACATGGAAAAAGCATGGCGTGCATCTGGAAGGTGCAAATGTGTATCAAAAGGCTTCCTTTCTTTTGTTCTTCCATGGAGACTGTTAGAGCATCAGATTTTTAACATCTTTTAAAGATATACTCACATTCTTAACGGACAGTATTAAGTATCAATATAATTTTCTTCCTTGGCAAATAAGGGCTAAAGAGCCTGTATTTGGGTATTCCTGTGCTACTTTACTGCACATGGACTTGTAGAACGTGCCACATTTCAAAGTCAGCCTGAAAATGGCTTAAAAACTCCAAATCCTCCCTTGTGTGTGGTATGAGAGTGAGCCTTCATCTCCAGCTGTTAAAGCTAAATCATCTGCCCCTCTCATCCCAGTGGTGCCTCATCAATGCTTTGAGGATCTTGAACTTGATCCCATCTCTTCAGACTCAGCACTCAGTTTAAACTTATGAAAGGAGAGCTTGTGAAATAACTTCAATGATTTTCCTCTACAATGCCACTGCATTCTTACAGCTAGATGCTACTCTGTAGCCATTTAGAAGCCACTGTGATGTAACCACAAACCACCAGACAGAGAGAGGAACTGAGACACCCACCTTCTCTCTTCTTCATTAACAAACAATAAATGAACACTCCCGCTGAGTGTCAACATGTGCTCCTGTAGGAAAATACTTCCCTAGATTCTTATAAAGTACTATCATACCTCTAACTCACCACTGACCTGACCTGAGGGTGTTTTTAAATTTTTTTTCTTAATAGACCAAGGATCAAGGGCTCCAAGTACTGGATAAACATAAATATAAAGAAAATTATATTGATATTTAATACCATCAGTTAAGAATGATCTCAATGCAGTTTCTACGTAAGAACTTCTTTTCTTTCCTTCCTTCCTTCCAGCAGGTGGTTGGGTGGACAATAAATCGGTCCCTGAGTGATGTAAGCAGTTTGCTCTTGACTACTAACCTAAAGGCTGCTGGTTTAAATCTACCCAATGGCACTGTGGAAGAAAGACCTAGAGATCTGTTTCCATAATAATGTGGCCAAGAAAATCCTATGGAGCAGTTCTACTCTGTAATACACAGGGTCACCAAGGGACTCCGCTTTGGAGAAGGGGTAGCACAGTAGTAGGGCCCACCCACAACCTACGGGCATCTAGTAGATTCCGACTCATAGTGACCCTACCTAGGGTTTCGGAGACTGGGAGCAGACAGTCTTATCTTTCTCTCTCAGATTGGCTAGTAGGTTGGAACACCTGACCTTGAGGTTAGCACCCCAATGTTCAATTCATAGTGCAACCAGGGCTGTTTAAATAATAGGTCAATAAACACAAATCCAAGTCTGAGGGGTGATGGGAGGGGTATGAGTTCCACATCTACGGCAGGAGTTTACCTAACCTAAATCTTCTACCTGGCAATCCTCCACTCCAGAGCATCTCTAAAAACCATACAAATTATCAACATAATAACCCTTAAAAAAAAAAAAAAAAAAAACAGTCAAGAATTATAACAGAAAAAAAAATTACCTACAGCCTTCAAATAGTATTTAAGATGCATGTACTAGGGAAGGCAGCAGAAATCTAACTGGAATGCTTGTGGTGGTCTTGGCTACAACCTCACCCCTGCCAGAGCACCAGGCCAGTGGGTAAGGCCCAGGGCGAGGGGCAGGCTTCCCACGCCTGCTTTGAGGGGACTACTTCCGTTTGGGAAGGATAAGGTTTTTCAACATGTCGAAGGAGTTGCCGTCCGGATGCACAGTCACAACCTTGCCGCCTTCCTGATGGACTTGAAGGAACCCAGAATCATCTAAGCCGACTATGGACACCTCTGGTCCCTCCGCACTTCCAAGACGGACTTGCTGGCCACTGGAAAAGAAGATAAGAGACTGTCACCAGAAACTGAAGGCATTGGCTCAGCACTGTTAATTACGTGATCCTCCAATAAGAAAAGAGCTCGGGGGTGGGGGTGGGGTGGGAGTGGGAGGCTGAGTCTAGAGTTGTAGCTTTAGTTCATCCCACAAGAATTGTGTTGCTAAGGAGTCCTGGTGTGGCACTGTGGATTAATGCATTAGGCTGCACAATTGGTTTGAACTACAAGGTTGGTGGTTCAAACTCACCAGTTGCTCCTTGGAAACCCTCTAGAGGGTCGCTATGGGTCGGAACCGACTCAACGGCACTTAACAACAACAACAAACTACTAGTAATTAGGGTTGGAGTCCTGTTGTGGCACTGTAGGATAAGCATGGACTGATAACTGCAAGCATTCACAGTTCAAACCCACCAGCTTAGAAACCATATATAGGGTCGCTATGAGTCAGAACCAACTCAACAACATTTAACAACAACAACAAGAATTAGGGTTGACTATGATGACCTAACAAAGTAAAGCTTTAGGGACCATTATTTGCTGATGGGAACTCAACTCAAAATGAGGCAAAATAGCTACAAATATCCATTAATAATCATAACATGGACTGTAAGAAGTATGAATCTAGGAAAATTGTCAGTTGTCAAAAATGAAATCAAATGCATAAAGACTAACATCCTAGGCATTAATGAGCTGAAATGGACTGGCAGTGGTCAATTAAAACCTGACAATCACATGGTTTACATGCCGGGAATGGTAAATTTAAGAGGAATAGTATCATAGTCGTCGTCAGAACAACCATTTCAAGATCTGTATTGAAGTACAATGCTGTCTGTGATAGGATGCTATTTATATGCCTAAAGGAAAATCAATTAATACCACTATTATTCAAATTTATGTAATAAGCCCTAAAGCCCGTGACAATGAAATTGAAGAATTCTACCAATTTCTTCAGTCTGAAATTGATCGAACATGCAATCAAGATGTATTGATAATTACTGGTGATTGGGGAAGGTTGGAAACAGAGAGGAAGGATCAGTAATTGGAAAATGTGGGCTTGGTGATAGAAATGATGCTGGAGATGGCATGATAGAATTTTGTAAGACTTATTCATGACCTGTATGCTGAGCAAATACCCAAGAAGCTGAATTATATGAAGAAAAACGTGGCATCAGGATTGGAGGAAGACTCATTACCAACCTGTGATATGCAGATGATACAACCTTGCTTTGTGAAAGTGAAGAAGACTTAAAATATTT